ATTCATTAACGATTTAATTTTTAACATCCACGCTTCTATTAGAAACTACAATTGACATTTTCAAATGCCACGGTATTGATTGGGCGTTTTATCCCTTAATAAGTAGGACAATGGTTTTGAATAAACAATTTTATGCAAATCTTAATGATAACTGTGTACTTTAAGCAATTTTAAATGTCAAGGTTGAAATGTTTTAATAGTAAATATTCTTACTTATGCGAAGTTAGCACCCTATTTTTGTAGTGTTTTGATTATAACAAGAGAACGTCCCAACCAATATTGACGAACAATATCTCATTCGAAAGCTTAACTCTTGGCCAATACGAAATGTCCGATTTGAAACCACTTTTGAATTCCGCTAAAACGCCAAAATATTGCGAAAGCATACGAAAATAGTACAAAAATTATCTTTTTTTTTAGATGGTCGTTTTTTTAGACTCGGAAATGATATACTCGATTGTAAACAACAAGATGTAAAACCACAATTATCGAACTTTCACCTTTTTAAATTTTTCTGGATATTTATGTACCNTGTAATATGGAATTGATAATAGAAAAACTATGGTCACAGCAATTAACTAGACATTTCGGCGGTCAAACCTATTTTTAGTTATAACTTCGTAATGCTGTATCCCATAATTTTGATTGTCTAGAACAATAACTAGAACAACTAGAACAACCCAGAACAACAGAGAAAATTAGATTTTTCCAAAAATGGGGGCTAGTCAAAAAAACCGTTTTTTCGGTTTTCTCGCGGAGTTTTTATTTTTTCGATTTGCCGCTTTGGAACAATGTAGAACAACTCTAGAACAATCTAGAACAACAATGAAAAATTTAAAAATCAAAAAATGGGGGGCTAACTTCCTGCACTCTCCGACTCCAGTAGTCTACCAACTACAAGATGTAAAATCACGATTTCATGTAATTTTAACCTTTCTAAATTTTTCTCAATATTTATGCATCTAAAATCAAAAGTGCAAAGTAGCAATATTGGAAAAAATGAAGTTTGGTACAACTTTTATACTAAAACTGTTTTTTAAAACTTTCCTACTCTTGTACTCTATCAACTACAAGATGTAAAATCACGATTTCATGTAATTTTAACCTTTCTAAATTTTTTTCGATATTTATGCATCTGACAGCAAAAGTGCACAGTAGCAATATTGTTAAGAATAAAGTTTGCTACAACTTTTATACAAAAACTTTTTTCTAAAACGTTCTGAATCCTGTGCTCTACCAACAACAAGATGTAAAACCACGATTTCATCTAATTCTCACCTTTTAAAATTTTTCTCGATATTTACGCATCTGAGAGCAAAAGTGCAAAGTAGCAATAATGAAAAGAATGAAGTTTGATACAACTTTTATACTAAAACTTTTTTCTAAAACGTTCCGACTANATTGCGAAAGCATACGAAAATAGTACAAAAATTATCTTTTTTTTTAGATGGTCGTTTTTTTAGACTCGGAAATGATATACTCGATTGTAAACAACAAGATGTAAAACCACAATTATCGAACTTTCACCTTTTTAAATTTTTCTGGATATTTATGTATCTGAGAGTAAAAGTGCATAGTAGCAATAATGAAAAGAATGAAGTTTGCTACAAGTTTTATACTAAAACTTTTTCTCTAAAATGTTCCGACTCCGAGTGCGGGAAGTTAGACCCCATTTTTTGATTTTTAAATTTTTTATTGTTGTTCTAGATTGTTCTAGAGTTGTTCTACATTGTTGCAAAGCGGCAAATCGAAGAAATAAAAACTCCACGAGAAAACCGAAAAAACAGGTTTTTTGACTAGCCCCCCATTTTTGGAAAAATCAAATTTTCTTTGTTGTTCTGGGTTGTTCTAGTTGTTCTAGTTATTGTTCTAGAAAATCAAAATTATGGGATACAGCATTACGAAGTTATAACTAAAAATAGGTTTGGCCGCCGAAATGTCTAGTTGATTGCTGTGACCATAGTTTTTCTATTATCAATTCCATATTACAAATATATACTTATTATAGCTAACGCAAT